TTCGCATGTCCTGAAGTAATTCGGGGCAGTGGATGCCCATTTACTTAACTCTAAAGATCCTCGTTGCAACAATTGTACTATTTCGTTGCGGATCGATTTTAGTTCATGTATTGTGTCTGCCCCGGTGAGCAGATCATCCATATAGAAATCGCGCTTAATACGTGCTGCCGCGACCGGAAATTCACTCGAGTATGTTTCGGCCAGATGATTGAGACATCGCGTAGCCAGATAAGACGCTGATGAAGTACCGTAAGTAATGGTGGTTAATTCAAACGTGTTGACGGAGGCCGAAGGGTCGGTACGCCATAATATTCTTTGTAAGCGCGTCTGTGAAGAGTCCACTAAAATCTGCCTGTACATCTTGATCATATCCGCCGTAATAACGTAACGGAAAATTCGAAAGCGCATCAGAATGCTTGCTAAATCTTGTTGAACGACCGGTCCGATCATGAGCGCGTCGTTTAGAGAAAAGCCGGTACTCGATTTGCATGATGCATCAAACACGACACGAATCTTCGATTTTTGACCCGTATTCTTAAACACACAATGGTGTGGTAAATAGACTGCTAACGGTTTTCGTCAGGGGGTGGATCTATTAATCGCATATGCCCCAACGAATGATAATCCTGCATGAACTGTACGTACTGTGCTCTAAGAGCGGGATCGCGTTTGAAACGTTTCTCGATTCCTACTAATCTTTTCATTGCGATGCTTCGCGAGTCACCGAGCTTATGAACTACCTCCTCCTTAAGGGGAAGTTTTACCATATCGGTCTTGCGGTCCCAGAAACGTGTTCTCGAGAAAATGTTGCTCGCACAAATTCTCCTCAAATGTATATTGAGTAGATGCCTCGCGATCATCTTCCAATTTCCAAAGATGACTTAACTGCTCGTGCAGCTGTTCGTTATTTATCGATGAGTGAAAGGACTGTACCCTCAAGGTAGATTGTTCCGCGCTGACTAGTCGCCCCGCTAGAATCCATCCCAGTCGCGTTTTCTGGAGGGTGGGATGTTTGTCAGACGACCTGATCTGTCCCACGCATAGCAGATCCCAGAAAAGTTCCGCGCCGATTAGGAGATCGACCGATGCCGATACATTAAATTGCGGGTCAGCCAAGGCAAGATTATTTGGTAGTTCGTAATTACTTCGTTTCAACGAGAACGCGGGAAGCTTGTCGGTTACACGTTCTGCAACAATACAGTCAATATTCACCGAATATGAATTTATGCGCGATTGTATTTTCACTTTAGTTACTTGGGACGAGGTCGAAGCTATGCCGTTCACTCCTGAGATAAAAACGTTAAGCGATCGCGATTCTAAACCCAGTGCCGTTACGAGACTTCGCGATATGAAATTCGCCTGAGAACCACAGTCAAGTAATACACGGCAAGGTCGCCGCGAATCCTCATGATCGTAGACGTGTACTACCGCGGTCGATAGCATAACGTTGTTACTGCCGGTCACTCCCGAAGCCTGCGTTACCGACACGGGGGATGAATCGTTAGATTTTAATTTCTCGTTTTCGCCGGCTTTGCGGTCCGCCGACCCTGGCGAGTCAGCAGCGATGTGAAGCAACGAATTGCCCTGACATACTCGACATTGTTCCGACGGGCATTTGTTGGAGGAATGTGAAGACGAACGCAAACAGTTGCCACACAATTTGTGAGCTCGGATTTCGGAGACTCTTTGAGGAATTGGAGCTATAAAGTTTTTGCAGTAATATATGGAATGCTCACCGGAACAATAACCGCACTTAGATTTAACAGTCGCGACGCAGGACGTCTGACGTTTGGCGTTTGCCTGCGGCCGCGCGCTCGTACCTTTCGTGCTCACGACGACCGTTTTATTTGTAGCCTCTAACATTTGGCATCGGTGCGTGATGAAATTGGTAAATTGTTTTAACGTGGGTAGTTCGGCGCCCGTAAGAGACGTTTGCCATTCGCGTATTGTAATCGCGTCAAGTTTAGAACTAAGAA